GGTCTGTATGTAAAAGCGTCTGTGTGTAAAAGCGTCGGTGTGTAAAGGAGTCTGTGTGTAAAAGCCTCTGTGTGTAAAAGCTTCTGTGTGTAAAGGAGTCTGTGTGTAAAGGAGTCTGTGTGTAAAAGCCTCTGTGTGTAAAAGCTTCTGTGTAAAAAGCTTCTGTGTTTAAAAGCTTCTGTGTGTAAAAGTGTCTGTGTGTAAAAGGGTCTGTGTGTAAAAGTGTCCGTGTGTAAAAGCGTCTGTGTGTAAAAGTTTCTGTGCGTGTAAACGCGTTTGTGTGTAAAAGTGTCTGTGTGTAAAAGCGTCTGTGTGTAAAGGAGTCTGTGTGTAAAAGCGTCTGTGTGTAAAAGCTTCTGCGTGTAAAAGCTTCTGTGTTTAAAAGCTTCTGTGTGTAAAAGTGTCTGTGTGAAAATTGGTATGTGTGTAAAAGGTCTGTGTGTAAAAGTGTATGTGTGTAAAGGAGTCTGTGTGTAAAAGCCTCTGTGTGTAAAGGCTTCTGTGTGTAAAAGCTTCTGTGTTTAAAAGCTTCTGTGTGTAAAAGTGTCTGTGTGTAAAATGGTCTGTGTGTAAAAGTGTCCGTGTGTAAAAGCGTCTGTGTGTAAAAGTTTCTGTGCGTGTAAACGCGTCTGTGTGTAAAAGTGTCTGTGTGTAGAAGCTGCTGTGTGTAAAAGCGTCTGTGTGTAAAGGAGTCTGTGTGTAAAAGCTTCTGTGTGTAAAAGCTTCTGTGTTTAAAAGCATCTGTGTGTAAAAGTGTCTGTGTGTAAAATGGTCTGTGTGTAAAAGTGTCTGTGTGTAAAAGAGTCTGAGTGTAAAGGATTCTGTGTGTAAAAGCGTCTGTGTGTAAAGGAGTCTGTGTGTAAAAGCCTCTGTGTGTAAAAGCTTCTGTGTGTAAAAGCTTCTGTGTTTAAACGCTTCTGTGTGTAAAGGTGTCTGTGTGTAAAATGGTCTGTGTGTAAAAGTGTCTGTGTGTAAAAGCGTCTGTGTGTAAAAGCGTCTGTGTGTAAAAGCGTCTGTGTGTAAAATAGTCTGTGTGTAAAAGTGTCTATGTGAAAATTGGTCTGTGTGTAAAATGGTCTGTGTGTAAAAGTGTATGTGTGTAAAGGAGTCTGTGTGTAAAAGCCTGTGTGTGTAAAAGCTTCTGTGTGTAAAAGCTTCTGTGTTTAAAAGCTTCTGTGTGTAAAGGAGTCTGTGTAAAAGTGTCTGTGTGTAAAAGCGTCTGTGTGTAAAGGAGTCTCTGTGTAAAAGCGTCTGTGTGCAAAAGCGTCTGTGTGTAAAAGTGTCTGTGTGCAAAAGCTTCTGTGTTTAAAAGCTTCTGTGTGTAAAAGTGTCTGTGTGTAAAATAGTCTGTGTGTAAAAGTGTCTGTGTGTAAAAGCGTCTGTGTGTAAAAGCGTCTGTGTGTAAAAGTGTCTGTGTGTAAAAGTCTCTGTGTGTGAAAGTGTTTGTGTGTAAAAGCGTCTGTGTGTAAACGCGTCTGTGTGTAAAATCTTCTGTGTGTAAACGTGTCTGTGTGTAAATGGCTGTGGTGTTACAAGTGTCCCGTGTGCTAAAATTTCTGTGCGTGTAAGGCCGTCTGTTTGGCTAAAATTGTTCTCGTGTAAAATGCTGCTGTGTGTAAAAGTCGGTTTCTTTGTGTAAAGGAGGATCTGTGTGTAAAAGCGTCTGTGTGCAAAAAAGCGTCTGCGTGTAAAAGCGTCTGTGTGTAAAATTGTCTGTGTGTAAAAGGGTCTGTGTGTAAAAGCGTCTGTGTGTAAAAGCGTCTGTGTGTAAAAGCGTCTGTGTGTAAAAGCGTCTGTGTGTAAAAGCTTCTGTGTTTAAAAGATTGTAAAAGCTTCTGTGTGTAAAAGCTTTTGTGTGTAAAAGCGTCTGTGTAAAAGCTTCTGTGTGTAAAAGCGTCTGGTGTGTACAGAGGCGGTGTGTGAAAATGTCTGTGTGTAAGTGAAGCCTGTGTGTAAAGGAGTCTGTGTGTAAAGCGTCTGTGTTGTAAAAGCGTCTGTGTTCTCAAAGCGTCTGTGTGTAAAAGTTCTGTGTGAAAACAGGCTTTCTGGTTAAAAGCGTGCTGGTGTGTAAAAGTGCCTGTGTGTAAAGCTGTTGTGTGTAAAAGCGTCTGGTGTGTAAAGGAGCGTGTGTAAAGCGTCTGTGTGTAAAGGTACTTCCCCTGTGTGTAAAGGAGCTCATGTGTGTAAATGTAAAGTGTGCTGTGTGTAAAAGCGTCTGTGTGTAAAGGAGTCTGTGTGTAAAAGTGTCTGTGTGTAAAGGAGTCTGTGTGTAAAGGAGTCTGTGTGTAAAAGCGTCTGTGTGTAAAAGCGTCTGTGTTCAAAAGCGTCTGTGTGTAAAAGCTTCTGTGTGTAAAAGCTTCTGTGTTTAAAAGCTTCTGTGTGTAAAAGTGTCTGTGTGTAGAATGGTCTGTGTAAAAGTGTCCGTGTGTAAAAGCGTCTGTGTGTAAAAGTTTCTGTGCGTGTAAACGCGTCTGTGTGTAAAAGCGTCTGTGTTCAAAAGCGTCTGTGTGTAAAAGCTTCTGTGTGTAAAAGCTTCTGTGTTTAAAAGCTTCTGTGTGTAAAATGGTCTGTGTGTAAAATGGTCTGTGTGTAAAAGTGTCTGTGTGTAAAAGTGTCCGTGTGTAAAAGCGTCTGTGTGAAAAAGTTTCTGTGCGTGTAAACGCGTCTGTGTGTAAAAGTGTCTGTGTGTAAAAGCTGCTGTGTGTAAAAGCGTCTGTGTGTAAAAGCTTCTGTGTGTAAAAGCGTCTCTGTATAAAAGCGTCGCGTTTCTTCACATCCGAGGAATGATTGTACCGATCTTTTTCGGCAATGTGTGTAGGATTTTTTTAGTAAAATGAGGTAACACATGTCATTTGCAGCATCATGGTACCGAGCCTCCTGTGCACTTTTGTTGCTCACATTGTATTTCTCCATGTTTTCTTTCTATCTCCCTTTCCTTCTCTCTCTCTCTCTCTCTCTCCCCCCTCTTTCTCTCTCTCTCTCTCTCTCTCTCTCTCTCTCGCTCTCTCTCTCTCACCCTCTCCCTCTTTCTCTCTCTCCGTCTCCCTCTCTCTCATATAAAATTCACCAACCATTCACCGACTACCTTTTACGACTACCATCCTCAGAGCTGCTTGAAAAACATCTTTTTCGCTCTCGGGCCAACCGTCGTCTAGTTAGATCACACACCACCCTTCATCATAGTCGATTCCATTGCTTCTTATTCTTTTGTTATGTATTGTTAGATCACGCACCACCCTTCATCAATTCCATCGCTTCTTATTCTTTTGTTATGTATTGTTAGATCACGCACCACCCTTCATCATAGTCAATTCCATCGCTTCTTATTCTTTTGTTTTGTGTTGTTAGATCACACACCACCCTTCATCATAGT